CAACCTATAAGACACGGGTAATGACTATAGCAGTCGAATCCATTGATAACATGTTTAAAAAAATAATCATCTAATTGAAGCATTCTCGTATAAATGTATGACAAAAATTAACATACCTAATAATATTATGCACTACTCTTTTTGCGCAAAAGAATCAGAAAGTTTACAGTAATATGTGTAAACGGTACATACGCCTACTCACATTGTAACTGCCTAGTAACATGTTTAAGAAACCTGCGCCACGCTGTTTAGGCGCTATAATGATATTGTTATTCGTATAGTACAAAAGAGAAGTACAAGCCAGTGTGGCGCAATAGAGCTACCTACTAATTTGTAATTATTTGATTAGGCATGAAGCCATGAAGAAGATTTGAGAACAAGGTCTGTATTCCCACACTACGATTGAAACTGGTCCTACACAGTCTCTGTACTTCTGTAATGTATTACGTTTCACCTGGTTATTGGATAAACAACGCTAAAAAAAATGTTTGCATGTTAAACAACGTTAACGACTACTTTGGTAGTCACTGCAAATCGTAATTTATTAGAAGCATAATATGTGGAATAAACAAAAACTGTTTATCGTTTAATTAATAAATAACAAAACAATCAAAATATAGCTAGACACTTCAACGCTCTCGTGAGTCAAATAAATTTGATCTTGCACTGTGTAGTATGTACTTATGTTAAAAAAGTTTTACACAAACCATCTTGTTTTAAACATTTTAATACTATGTTTTTATTTTTAATTATTTGTTGGTTTTAAATAACGAAAATAGTTATTTTACCTAAACCAGTTGTTATTAAATCATTTTCTTAAACTCACATAATATGAATCAATATATTTTATAATAGGTAACTTTATTTTAAACTTATTATGTTTATTTACATTTTTAACTAAAAATATTATCATATAGTTCCTAATTTATAAATGATAAACCATTGCAGAATTTGGATTTAAAGATAAAACATGTATACAGAATTACCTAACGTGTTTGCTTTATTTATAATATTAAGCTGCATTCCAACACGACTATTTTTTACTTTTAAAAATTATAATCAAAGATTCTAAAATAAATTTAAATATTTTTTTTTTTAAACTGAATAACATTTTTAACATGCTGAAAACATGACTGTTTCGTGTTTTTCAGTTTTAAACAAAAAAAAGTCTGTGAAAAATGTCGTTTATAACTCTGCCCTGACATTATGATCTTGATTTAAATAAACTTATAATTTTATTAACGCTCTTTTCTTCTAAAAAACAAAATGTATAAAAGTACCTGTTATAGGTGTAATTACAACGAAAACAACAGCTATGACCTAGTTAACAACAATTTTTCCGTGTTCACAAGTCACAAGTGAATAATTTTAAATAATTATTTAGAATAGCTATTATTGCGTCAGCAAAAAATCATGCACGAAATAACTTAATTTAACGTTTTTTTTTACCAAGAAACCTTCATATACACCGATACACGCACACTTATAAAACGATTACAAAACATGTCTTTTCACTCATTGAGATCGGCAGGTAGAAGCTGAGAGCCGCCATAAAAAATACTCACACACTTACCCAAGTATCCTTCATTTTTTTAACGTTTACCAACAATATTTGATTTATCCGACAACCACCACAGGGGTCCAACGGCCGCCACCAGACGCCCATTATTATTAAACTAACGAGCCGACTCGGGGTAAAAAATAAAATAAATCCAAGAAAGAAAGAAAACAATATTCAAGAATAACCGACCCGCTCACACAAATGTACGGTACAAATTAAAAGGCTCATTTTTTTTTCAAAGCTCGGGGTACCGAAAAACCTGTTGTGATTTAATCTGGCCTCCAGGGACAATGGCTTTTATTTCATTATTTCCATCTCATACCTAGTGGTTATTTACCAGTCCGATGCTAATGTTGTTTTGTTGATCAAACGAACACGTTGCCGCCACCCGGCAACGGCGAGAATCGTGACCTAATAATCCTACTTTATTTTTTTCCTGTAGTAGTGATTCGGAAAGCCTCTTTTCAGCTGCGGTTTACTACTTGAAATTACTGATAGCGATTCTGCCTCGTACAACAACCACAAAAACAAAACTAGCGATTCTCAATAAACGATTCCGGAAATGTAAATATAGAAGCATACAATCTGTACTCTGCTATAATTTCACAAATGTATTTCAAACATAAAATATAACGTCTAATACAATCCACTGATTCAGATAAAATGCCTTAGTCCTTCAGGCCGGATTGATTATTATTAAATAGAACTATAAACACACGCACATCACATATCGGCATTAAGTATAACTAGTCAATCTACAGTTAGCATCGTCTAGTGTCAGCGTGGAAAACTTAAATAAAAAATTATTATTAAACATCAGATTAATATACCGAGCCCCAAAAATCCCAAGACTTAGTGCAATATAATAGAGACGTATTTTTCAATTTCTTATCGGCCTTACCCAATCTTTGGGTCGTATTACATTTTGCCCGGGTGTCAGATGGACAGTTAAAAATATAGATATCAATAATCCAACAGATAAACGAAACAGGTACTACCTACTAAAACGTTGGGCTCTGAGATATTTATCATGTCATTCGCTAGAAATATACCTACCCTTGTGTCTGACGCCCCAAGACAAAAAAAACTTACTTGTCCGTGAAGACAATTCAAAATTTCAATTTCACGCCGAGTTTAGTGTAAAATATAAATATGTAAGTACATGTCGGCCGAGAAGACAGATCTACTTAATCTGCGTCGTTTATGTATTCTCCTTATAGTAATTACTATCCACACATCAGATACTAAATTTGTATGCCGACACTAGCATAAACGAAAAAAAAAAGGTAATATGTCCGTCTCCGACCTGTTATTGCCTTGTCCATGTAAGTGGGTGGTTAAGTCCATCACGAAGAAGGTATTAAACCAGCCCAAAGAAAGATGAGTTCGAACCCTCACTCAACACGCATGGAAACTATTATCCGTCATGCGTTTTCATACGTATATATATATATATATTTTTTTTTTTTTTCAAACAACTCGAGTTAACGTTGTTTTAGTGGCAGATAATGACACCAGAGGGATGCCCGTTAATGATAATATTGTGTAATCAGAAACGACCCTGGCCTGTCTCGGAAACGCCTATCTCGCCGTCTTACAGGATAACAAGTCAGACGTAACAACAACACCCCGGCCTCTAATTAAGAATGTACCTGCCATACATTACTGTGGTATTGCGCGTGTGTAAAGGTTTGAAAAAACAATAAAAGGCATAAAAAAGTTGTAAAAAAATAAAAATAAATAATAACATTACCTATTGTTTGTTAATATTTATGTTTCTGTTAGAATTCTTTGCAAGGGAAGAGTGGAAGAAGTTAACACACGGAAAACTATGAAGAAACGAGGGATAAGATCTGGTAAATTATGGACGGATTATGCATGCGTTGTTCGTCGTGTGCTACAATAGCCTCTACATTACCATTTATTATAATATAAAATAACCTATTCTGGATCTTCGTCTGCACATTCATTATAACATTATTTTGTCTCCGAATACGCTTTTTAAGTGATATATTAATATATTATTTTATTTAAACGACACACCCACACACACGCACGCTTTCAGAATCTACTTTTTAATCGGGATAATACATTGAGTTAGGTTAGGACTTTGTGTTATTACTAACGAGCAATAAACAATATAAATTGTCATTATTATCCGCCTCATATATCTATATTATTTTTTTTATTACGTTAATTCCGTAATAAATTACACCGAGGGAACTTATTGAATGCTTACTGATAAATTATGAACGACATAATACTATATAATCATACTTATTTATACTTATTTATACTTCATATAATCACCGAAAACACATCTCAAATTAACAAAAATGTTTTTATTTACCTCATAAAAAAAAAAAATTATTTTACTGATTGTATCAAACAATCTTTAAACGTAATCAATTGTTGTAAAAACTATGTAGAGCGTATTTTAAGACGATTGTAAACATCTTTTATCGTCTCATAAACTTGAGAAAATTAACACAGGCTTGATAATATTTCGGTGCAATATATTGCTACCTCCATGTCGATACGTTATATTAAAACCATATCTAATTGAATCAAAATTTACCTATTACCACGTATAAACGCCATTCGTTTTGTGGTCCACGAAAAAAAAAGTGGAAATACTTGGGCGAAATGTTATAATATTAAAAAATTAACGAGTTTATTGGAGGCAACAATTACATAGACGTCATTTTTTCCAAATAAAACGGTTATTTTACCGTTCAGGAAATTGCCACACTTTTTTTCACTAGGTCGTTGAGCAAGGGCCGGTTTAGACCGCCACCTTATCATTAGGTACTTACAGCCTCGGGCTCTCAAACAAGATGAAAATTATTTCCAACTTAAACGTAATAACATGTCGACGGCAAATCGTTAAACATAAATAACAAACATGAAAAATAGTAAAATGGGTTAGCGAAAATACTGTAGAAGTAAAATGCATTCGAAAACATATTTCAATGATAAAGGATTTCTGTTTTTCAATAAATATTTTATCTAAACGAGTCGTAAAAATTTTTATAATTTTAGATTTATAAAATCTAGAAACGACAGACAGCCAACAGTAATATATGTTTTTTATGTGTAGAAAATTATATTTAGCGAAGATAATTTTCTATATCTTGCGATTCGGAAGTATAAATTTGTGTTATAGTTTTAATTATTGTAGATACTCATCTACATTATAAATCTTCAGTCGTTTACCGAGCAATTTAAGATTTAGAAATGTAACAGAAAAATTATTTTACACGAATTGCGATCAATTTTTCCAAATTTACCGACGTTAAAATGTCTACCTAGTAGTAGACTGTTGAATAAATTTGATTTTAATAAAAATTAGTACCTAAATTACTGTAAACCAAAAAAACTCGTAGTGTGCTTGATTGACTTTATAATATTATAGTAGTAAAACTTTTGTTGTACCTACCTGTTTTTGGTGAAAATTTAGGTGCAAATTTTATCGCGGTTTCCCGGCCGACTGGAAATCAATATTTGGGCGTTATAAGGCGGACGGACAGACAAAACGAACACTACCAATTTTGTTCGTTATTGGACGATATATGTAATTCAGGACGTGCTGCTCAGGGAACGACGTACAAATACACTACACGCTGGTCGCGAGACGCGAATTCGGATTAAATTTAAAACCGTTTGATAATAAAATAAAAAAATTAAATTATCTACAATCACCGAAACGATGATTATAACAATATGTGTTTACTTCGAGATTTGAGCACGAAACGTTACCGATCGGTCTAACACGCAACGCATGTATGAGGCGATACCAACACGCGAAATAAAACGCCGAACCGTTCCAGCAGCAACAGTTGCGCAGTGGTGCCACGTGCGGCGGCAAAAATTATACGATGTAGGTCAGTCGGTGCTACGATAATGTACAAAGTACAATTAATTTATTATAAACATTAAACACGATAGGTAAATGTATATATAAAAAGTGAGAAGCCCAAATTATTTTCAACACAATTTAGTGCAGCCAGTGTGCGATTTCCTTGAACCGAATTTCTCAAAATGATTATACTATGCAACTGCACTGCATATAATATTAAGGAGCCTTAAGACAGCAGCTAGTGCAACCCGCTATTCTGTTTTTTGTTTCTAAACTTTATGTTGATATTTTTTTAAAAACTGTTAAGTAACCCAGAGATTTATCATTTTCTTTAAAAATATAGATTTTAAGTATATAGTTTTAGTAATTTTTTCTCGACATTTTTCAAATCAACTTGTTTTGCGGTCAGCGGACTCTACGATTTGGCAAATACGAATAGATTATATTTTAAACAATTATTATACATTAGCTGTGTATTTTTGTGTCAAAAATTTATTTTGACCGTTATTTTTTACGAATTTGTATAATAACCCATTTATTTGTTGCCACTAATTATGTAATAAAATAAAAAGTTAGAGTGAGTACAGATAATAAAAAAATCTCATGCGACATGAGACGGCATGAGTTTTTCTCTTATAATCATTTTTTACCACCAAAATAAGGGTTACTAGTAAAAAAAATTGTATACGTTAAAATACTCTAAAGCTATTACCAATTAGTTGACGTGATCGAAATTTAATAAAAACAATTTTCCTGTCAAATATTGTATGTATTTTGTTTCTTAATAAATAGCCATGACCAGATTACAGGCCTCAAATTGTTGCAATTAATTTCAATAAATCCCGTGGACACTTCTTAAACATTTATTTACTCATATACTAACTATACTTAAACACATCAAAATGTTAACGAGGATAAAACTATGGCGCGGTACCCACAAATATCTAAACTAACCTAACTTAAGTTTTAACCATTAACTTCACGGATAATTATTTATTAATATATTTTCATAGGCCATAGCAAGTAAATACTAAATAGTAAATACTTACAACTTAATTTTTTAAGACTTATCTCTTTATGTTATTTATCACTTATCAATGATAATAAAACACGATATACTTTATCATATTGTTATCATACTATGTTTCATGATAATAACTGATAAATTACTAGTTATCATTTAATGTTGACAACAATGAAAAAAAAATTTAAGATTTTTTTTTACTAAATATGTACCTACTAGTAGGTTGTTTCCTATATTATTTACATTTGTTTATTTTAAATTAAATCATGGTTAGATTAAAATATTTTGTTTGTGAATCTCAATTCCGTCTGAATTATATAATTCGTACATGTCAATTATTATGGAAGTTAAGTATGTGTTAAATTGTTAAACGTGAAATTCCAATCACAAATTATTGTAACATATGATGGTAAGGATATATATTTTTCACAAACATAAATATAATAAACATTGTTGATTTTAATATTATAATTATTTTTTAGTCTGGAAATAGCGAGGAAATATTTCATCGTACAGGTTCTTTTCGCCGCGTTATAGCTCCGGGAAACGACACAACTAGCGTTAGTGGTATTGCTGTGAAATCGGCTAGTAAAAATAACTCTTACTTAAATCCAAACTATGTACCATTTTTCCTAGAATATACCCTCATGTCTGAATTGTAAGTATTATTGTTGCAATAAATTGTTGCACACATAAATTATTAAGGAATTTTCTTTTTTAGTAATATATTAAGCAAAAAAACAATACCTGGAGTTTACGTTATGCCTGCAGCTAAAACTCCATTTAGTAAGAACTCATCAATTTTTTTTTCAAATACATTTTGTTCAACTATTATGTGTACTTTTTTAGTTTGGTTTGGAGTGATTTTTCCAAGATGTGGGCTGTACAAAAATGGAGTTTTTCGTTTTCGCATACACATAGATAGTACTTGGCCAGATTGTGATTGTCCTAAAGTGATCATCGAAACACCAGTTTTCCATCCACTCGTAGATCCTACGTCTGGAGAAATGAATGTCAGACAACATTTTCCAGAATGGAAAAAAGGAGTTAGTCGTATTTGGCACGTGGTCGACCACGTACAAAAATCTTTTTATGATATACCCCGTACCAAAAATCCAGTTAATTTAGAAGCTGCAGATTTGTAATTGAGATTTTTCTTAAAATTTACTTCACTTTCAGTATGAATTACTATTTCTTAGTTTCTTTTATTATTATTTTTTAGATTAAAATCAGATAATGAAAATTTCATGAAAAAGTGTCAAGAATGTGTCGAGCGAAGTAGAACAGATGTTTATAAACAACCAGATCATCCAGAAAGTAACGATCCACACTATATTTTGTTCGAACCGTACATAGAAGAAATGCATGGACCATCTAAACGATCATGGTTTCTACAAAAAGTTAGCAAACTTTACACCACTTTTGAACATTTTACACTTTGGTGTGATTACGTTTCCCCACATTCCTTTATAATTAAATGACCAATGGATAAAGCCTGGAGACAACAAACAATCTACCCTGTCCAAAAATTTTGAAAAAAAAATTAGAAATAATTAATTATTGACTAGTTTAGGGGGTCAAAATGTGAAGACAATACTTTTTGTATACCAATTATAATATTTTATTGTTTTTAAAATTGTTTTAATTTTAATAGTTTTTCTAATTAAAGCCAGGAAGTGATTTCTAATAGAGTCAATCTTTGGTCATAGAAAATTAATGGAATACATAAAATTGACTAGTCATTAATTCAGATTTAAATAGCATATTAAAAGCAACTAGGTAAGACATTCAATACTTCTTCTTGATCTCGCATCATCTTGGTTATTAATATTATATCGTTATTTAATTATATTATAGATTTACATTGGTAACTTTTTTTTATTTTAAAAGTTCATATAGACTAGTAGTTGTAATGTTTAAAAGTAATCATATATTTTTTTAAATTAACAAATTACAATTATTCAATTTGAGTTATTTCTAGCTTGATTAAACAATAATACTATAACAAAAATGTATTACCCGTACTGAGTTAAATAAAAAGATATTAACCACAGTGGTATAGTTGGTTCTAATTTTCATATTAAATAATTTTTATAAATGTCTTTAAAATAATATTGAAATTTCATATTTTTCAGTTATTACAAAACAATATGATGTGCATTAACTGAAAAATGTGTGATTCATTCAGTAATAAATTATTTAAATTTCAGGAAAATGAAAACAAGAACCCACCATTGTCTTGGGTTCAACCTGGATCACTTGAACCGTTTTCGAGGCCGAATGCATGAAGTAACAATTTTCTACACCCTGCGATTAATACAAAAATGACTTGTTAGAATCTTAATGTAATATGTAATCTCATGTTATTGTATTTTATAAATAGATTATACTTTATTAAGTATATAAAAGGTGTCTCCTAACATAAAACTGATATTTGTGGTATTAACTAATGACTCCCAACTCCCAAGACCGAAACAAATCAAAATTCAAATATTTCTCCATGGTTAGTATGTTGTTTTGATGATTTTCATGTTTGATAAATGTGCGATATGCCTTGTTTAAATAAGTCTATTGAAATTAGTTGTTTTATGTTGAGAGACACCTTGTAAATTTTAATATACTTAAAATCAGGGTTGGATTAGATTTTAAAATTGACTCGACTAGCAACAAACGTAGCAGTCTACAAGCTACCACACAAATGATTTTAGTACAAAATAGTTATCCCTCCCAAAAACAATTTTTCAAAAATGTGCAATAATTATTTAGTGCCTTAATCGTTAAACTAAACCTTAGTGAATCTCGATTTGTTCTCTTTGTATAAATGTTTAAAAAATGAAATGTTGACTATTAATATTTATATTATATTTTTTGTACTAGGTATATTAACTAGTAATAAACTGTAACTAAAGTGATATTTTAAATACTAATATGTACGCGTTAAATAATAATTCTATTGATGATTCGTTTATACCTTAATATCTAATGAATAATTGTAATTTAAACTAAACACCGAAATATTTTACATGAACTTAATTTTGTCTTATTGGATCTAAATACATTTTCTTTGACCACAATTTTATAATTTTTAGAAAACTTTTATTTGTTTATTTTATTTCCTAAATTTTATATAAATTACATTTACTGTAGTACAGAGTTCATCATTTACTACCTAATCCTTAACAAAAAGTATGCAAGAACTGATTGCACACAAATGCTTGCGAACTAACTTTAAAAAATGTAATATTTTTAAAATATTTGTTATAAATATATTTTTTTGGCTAGAAATGCATTGTCTAACAAACATTTGTTACAAAATATGGTTTTAATAATTAAACAAATATTTAAATATACTATCAAAACCTATCTAAAATTTGTGATGAAAAGGTTATATTTAATCTAGAAAAAACTTAAGAAACACTTGTGGTATTTATATATATTTTTTTAACTTTCGACCTTATAAAATATCTTTGGTCAATGATTTGTAATCTATAAAATAGTTGTATGAACATTTTTAAAACATTGTTTTTAAAAATATTATTGACAAAAAGAAAAAAAATATGGTTTTCTAATTTATTAAATTACTTTTAGTTATTCAATTTTTTTTTTAAAGGTTATCTTTTAATGACTATAAATCTTTATTTAAATTAAATTAATAATAAGTGTTTGCATTTCGAAAATGTACTTGGAAAATGCATGTACATAATATGACACATGTTATGTCATTAGTTCAGGGATTTGTAGAGAAAATATTTAGTCAACCCCTAGAAATGCAGTAAATCCTGATGCTATAGCAATGGGTGCAGTTTTATGATTTAAAACATTTAATACTACGTCCACAAGTCATTATTTTTCAACATTCCTCTTTGACAAAAAAAGTTGAACTAATGAAAAAGAGTTAAACATGAAAAAGGCTGTTTACCATGCACAGCAAGACAAATTTGAAAAAATCTTTCTCGATATTATACATTTTTCAGGACTGGTTTCTTATACAATTGAGTGAATGCAAACATTTTACTAAAAAAAAGAGGATTTTTATAGATAAATGAATTGATCACAAAGGAGTAAGAAAAACATTTCATAGGTCTAGACAAATAAAGATATTTTTACAGACTATTTAAATAGAGTAAGAATAAAGAAAAAAAAGTTATAAGTCGACATGAACTCGCTTTCCGAAAAAAATGTAAATACCCAAAATCTCTTGAATGTTATTTTACCGATATGCAATCACGAAGGTAATATTATAGTATTATGGTAAGAAAAACCCGGTCGAAAACTCGATAAAAAAAAATTGGCCTTATTGTCGAATACAGAATAAGATAATATTTATCAGCAATGCCTTAACTACATACAGCCTACAGAGTGATCATTTTATCGTGAACCACTAAATATCTACAATGTGATCTCAATTTTTCACAATTTTTTTTTAGTTTTACCCCCCTTCCAACTTAGTATTTTTAATGTTGCACATGATAACTCATAATTGCTTTTCAGATGTCCCGAAAAAAAAAATACCAAGGGTCCAAAAAAATATCAGATTTTAATTGCAAACTAGGTTTAAAAAAAAAATTCCAAAACTTAATATGTTTTCCCGAATCGGGCAATCATTTTACACTTAGCTCTGCATCGAAGCTAAATGTTTTTTTAATGGTATAGTGCACACAATTCATAAAAGCAAGTTATTAGAAAAATTTTTTTTTAGTGCGTCATAATGAATATAAATAAATAATACATATTTTGACATTGTACTTTTGTGTTTGAACCGTTAGGAATTAAGATAAAAATATGTTTGCGTGAAAATGTTCAATAATGGCTAGATTAGGTAACGACCTCGTTTACTCGATTGTGGATCATTTTTAGCCACCGACTATAGCTGCTTTTGTTGGCAATATAACAACAATATTATGGGCACCTACTATTTTTGTCAAATTAAATGTCGGTATTGAGAAAAAAAATTAGGACAATCGACCGATCGGCAACGCACAGCTAGTGGTACCTGTTTTTGATATGTTTGCGATGTGCATGACATTAAAATTGTCCGTTTTATTTATAGCCTCAACATTTGAGTTTTTATTACAGTTTTAGTTTTTATCAAGTCTAAACTCATTTGGCTAATGTCAAACGCCGAATTTATTTAGAATAGTTTTAAATTTTTGGTTTAAAAAATTACTCTTACATTTTAGTATAATAATATACTTAACATTTTATAGTTTTAAAAAAAATAATTGTTCTTTTTTATACTTCTAAATTCTAATGTTGCTGTTAATAAGAGAACATTGAAGTTTAAATATATGTTTTATACTTTTTGGCAAGTAAAACCTTTTTGAGATATAATAAATACAAGCATTTAAATTCTGATTTATGACTAATAAAAAAAAATAATTCGTTCGAGGAAAGTCGCTAAGTTAGTGCAAAAAACCGAACATTGATTACTAAATAGATGCCATTATATTATTCACAAAAACAAATAATATGTCTTCAACCTCAATGATAGCTTTATGAGTTAATGTCTATTATAAATTTTATATTTATGATTTCTTTATACATCATGTTTTATTGCGAACATGGTTAGAAATTGATTTTTAGCCGACAATCGCCTTAATACTAGTAAATTATTTTATAATATCAGCTCTATATTATTATAAATTAACCCAGTTATTATATACATCCTTAATAGCGTCATAAAAATCATTTGAAAATATCAGATATAAATTATCATACCAAATTAATAACGAGTTTAAAATTTGATTGCATACATATTACACAATTAAGGAACCCGCAACAATATTAAGTACCGGAAATAAAATGAAATAAATAGAACATTTCGTTTTTAATCAAATATTATTAGTAAATAAATTTAATACCTTTCTAAATTAAAATGACACATCAATTTAACAGGAGTGGGAATTATTTTTTTTATTTCTATTTTTTATTTCGAGCTCATCTGCTTATGCCATCTCCTCCGTATTCTAAACTTTAAAACACTAATAAGTGAGAACTCTTAATATAAATTATAATTATTTAAAACTAATATCGACCCGTCAAAATGGTCTGTCAATTTAAATAAAAAAATTAATACATTTTATGTATGCTACCGTTTATGTTTCAAAAGTTTTTTAGCAAAATATTATTTCAGAAAAGTTATAGTAATAATGAAAAGTAACATTTACAACAATTTTTTTTTCGAACTACAAAATCGCAATTCTTTATTCGAGAAAATTTTTAAATCTCGTTGATAACCTACAGTGATGTTGACGTTTGTCAAAAAAGAATAACGTTTTCTTTCCCGTTTCCATAAAATAAAAGATTCTAGTTCTAACCATTTGTTCACATTGCAAAAAAAATCGTACTTAATTAAGTTTAAAATTATAATACTTATTATCACGATTTAAAACATAACAACATAGTAATAACATATTTTAGGCAAATCGTATTTTTTGCTAGTTTTATTACAAAATTAGCGTAAAATAAAAACATAATTTTAACAAAAAATTAAAATCAGCTAACTTAATTAAAACAGACAATTAATTTTGCATATTTTGTCAAAAACAAATGTTTTACCAATATTTGATTTGATATTATACTTCAAAAATTAAGACCAGAAAATCGCATCACGTTTATTCCAAATGAAAAAAGCACTTTTGGGAAAAATCGCTTTGGTCGTATACTAGGTATAGACAATTATTTTGTCACAACATTTTTCATTTGTCATGAAATACAAATTGATAAATTATTTGAAACATAAATTCTTAATTCAATATAATTTTAGTAAATTAATAAAATATACATTTTTCGTTCCTATTCAAACTCAAATTAAAAAAATAAATAAATAAACTAAAAAAAAAAGGTACTTATATTAACTAGTTTTCAATACTGCACACTTTATAATCTAAATTTCAGCCTACATTTTTTTTCGGACTTGATAACGTTTTCATTAGAGTAACGTCGGTATAGCGTTAATATAGTTCCAGAAGCATTACTTGACTTTAGAACGGGTTTAATTGATTTTTCTTTTTTTACAAATTTAAAATCAATTACCGCTAACTATTCTAGCCGTTTTAATCAACAATGGTTGTAGTTAAAGCGGCTAATGTAAATTTTGGCATGAAAACTTTTTTAATCCCAGATTTTTTTTCACTCGAGTGTTGTTTTTATGCAATTTTTTTTTCTACGATATTTTATTTAGAAATCTGTTCATCAACGTCGGTTTTTTTTTTTCAAGAACTAAACAGAATACCATCTGTCGTTGTTTGTGTAAATCTGGACTTCGAATGTCCCACCATTTTTTTGTGAAAATGTGGCTTTGCCGTGATAATATTATGAGACCTTTTGCACAACAAACTCGACGGTATCGCGGCGGCGGCGGCGGGCCCGCTCTGAAGTCTTGTACAAGTACACACACAGCGCCTACAATCACTGCACCGCCGCGCCAACAGGGCTCCAATCTATTTCGAGCGTAACCCCGCGCAAGAGCTCTGTATTTCTGGCCGTCCGTCCTACCCGTTTTTACTAGCTGACAATTTAAAAATACACCGTCCAAAACGCCAAAATCCGATTGTACCCGACTAGATAACAAAAGGCCACTAAATATTAATATACGCGCGCCGCCGGCATTAAATAATTTATGGATTTTTTGGCCAAAAACCCGCGTATTGCTCGGCCCCAAGGTAACGCCGTTGCTGGCGTCGGCGGCCGCGGAGACACCGCTGTCATGTCTTCCCCGTGTAGAAAATCAAACGGCAAATTTCACACATATTGTATTAATATTATAGTACAGTATATAAATACCCCAAATCCCGATGAATCATTATTATACGGTAACCTCAAATCGCACAATCGTG